TGTGGACAGCTAGATTTATTTGAGGAGTGACTTTGACAAGGGATAATCAGCTTCCTAATTTTTGTCACTTCAACGAGTGTAAAAGGACATTTTATGATTTTCATATGCACTTCTCTGATACCTTAAAATACACTTTGTCGGCTTTGAGATTCCCCTATTGTAAAATGCCTGGACATACTCTTTGCCCATTTTATTCTATTGAGGTTCCTGTCATGTTTCTATTGAGGTTTAGAAGTTCCTTGTACGTTCTAGATATTATTTCCTTGTCTGTTTTAGTCATGGCTAATGTCTTCTCTCAATCCATAATCTGTCTATTAACTTTATTCATGGTATCCTTTGTTAAATAGAAAGCCTGAATTTTAATGTAATCGAATGTATCTTTTTTACTCCTTCATGGTTTATGCTTTTTGGGTGTTATTTAAAAAATCTTTCTCTACCCCTGGGTCACATACATGTTCTCCTATATTGTCTTCCATTAACTTTATGTCTTTGTCACCTCAGGAAAATTGAACCGATCTGGAGGCCCCTTTGTATGTAATGTTAAGTCAGGAAGCAGTTTTGTTTCTCTCTAACAATGAGTCAATTTTCCTGATGCCACTGCTAAATAAGTTCTCCTTTTCTCAGTGGTGTGTGCTGGCCCACTTTTATTTTCAGTTCCCACTCAGGCACTGGTCTCTTCCTGAGTTCTAAGTTAAACCCATTAGCCTATTTGTCTGTTCTTGTGCAAAAACTACACTCAAAATTCTTGGTAGGCTCATATCACATCTTAATAAATGTCCAATACACATCCATCATGTTTCATGTTAGCAACTCTCACCTTGCTAATGACCCAAGACATCACTTTAATAGGCCAATAAACACGAAAAATAAAAAAGAAAAGCAAACACTATTTACCAAAAAAATGCTCAGGAGTCATTCATTCATTTATTCATTTACTCAGTCATTCACCAATACTTATTAGCTGTCCATTATGGGCCAGGATTCATGATGGATAGTGCTGACACAGGGTGAACCAAAAAGGACAGGTCACTGCAGTCATGAAAATGTACCATCTTTGGTGAGAAACAAATACTAATCAAATAACTACTCAAACAAATTTAACACTGTAATTGTGACAAGTGCTTTAAAAAGAGGCAGCTATTTAAAGAGGAAGATCTGACCTGATCAGAGAGGAATTGACCTGATAGAGGAGAAAATAAAAGTGGATATTTACAGGATGAGTGGGAGTTAACCAGGCCAGAGATGGAAGAAAGTTCCAGGTAGAGGAAAGAGCATGAAGAAAGCACCCGTGGTAGAAAGATCCTCCCAAGTGCAAAGGTCTGAAAAAAATACAGATGTGTTTGTGTGTGGCAATATTTAGAAGTCAGACAGAGCAGGAGGAACCAGCGAAAGAGAATGCATAGACACAGCCAGCAAAAGAAGAAAACAGGAGACGTTGCTGTCAAAGAAGCCAAGAACAAACATATTCTAGAAAAGGTTATGTCACAAAAAGTGAGTTTCTTGTCTCTAGGTCCATTTAAGAAGAGGGTAACATTTCCTAATCCATGAAAAGATTTAACAAATGATTTTTATATTGGTTATTTTTCATCCTTATAGAACACTGACTATATATCATTTTGCGCTTAACTTGAGATTAATCTCTTTTCTTTTACAAGGGAGTCAGCATGATGTAAATCTCAGATGGAGAGTGCTTCTCATCCTACCCAGTTATTTCATACTTCCTCAGGCAGTTTCCTTGAGCACGTGCCCTTTCTGTCTTGTTCGCCACAGCATCTCAAAGCCGAGAACAATGCCTGAGACACAGTAGGTGCTCAATAAATACTGGTGCCATTAGTTGATCAGTAAAGCAACAAATGAAAATTTCGTAGTTTTAAGGATATATTCATTCATAACACTCCTGGGGGGCATATGTCATTGGCATCTTTAAAGGCAGAGCAGATGCTGTGAACCATCTCTAGTGATTGATATTCATTCAACAAAATTGCCTCAGAATTCATTCATTGGCTTCTTTTTGTTGAAGACCTGTTAAGTGAAAAGTACTGTAGTAAGAATTGATTTATAGCTTATTTCACACTCTATCTCTTTATTTCAAATATATACTTTGAAATATAATGCAAATTGAGTTTGATTAGGACACTGTTTTATTGAGGCCAATTTTGAAAAGAGAACTGGAAAGAGATATGGACAACATTAAAAAATAAATATTTTATTCATTGGACAATGTAACATTTAAAAAACTTTTCTCCCATTATAAAAGTATTCTTTTAAAAAAATTGGTCTAAATTTTTAGAAAGTACACAACTAGCACAAACTGTGGCATCTCATCCTGGTGTTGCATAGTTACTCCATTTGCATCAGACAAGGTCTGGGGGGTGTGTTGAGGGGAAGGGGTTGCAGGATTTGGGAGAGGTGAGTGAATTAATGCTGGGGTTCAGCCCTAGCCTAGGACCTGGGGAGAGGTACTGAGGAACAGGAACCAGGGAGCCGTCATAGGGATGAGGTGGGGGATATGAGTGGGTTGTAGAGATACGGTAGCACAGTGAGGGGGAAGAGGGGTACCCATACTAACTAACACTCAGGGAGCACTTAGAATACACCAGGCTTTATTCTGCATGTCTTTCATGCATCATATTATTTAATCTTGCAACAACTCTGAGAGGCAAATACTCTAATTGTGCTTATTTTATTGTGGTTGTCAGACGTTTTCCTCTCTCCTCTCACCTACAAAGTAACCGGACAATGTCCTTTAGTCTTATTTTTTACCGTTAGGTCTGTGTTTCTTTTGTATTTGGCTTCCATTCTGTGTCATACACCATGCCAAGATAGATTCACCCTAAAGATCACGTATCCACATGTACCCTCCTCCCCAGGCTTCAGCAACAGAAGAACTGGCAGGAATCATGCAAGGAGCTCTCAGGGAGAGTTGTCACCATGTACACATCCGTTTTTTTGTTGCCATTAATGTGTTTAGTTTCTGGTTTCTGAAATTAGCAAACTGTGAAGCTAGGCTGCATAGATGGAACACCCATTTCCCACAAACCTTTTCAAAAAATCAACCACAAGAATTCTAAATGGTTTAATTTTAGATGTGGAAGATACCATAGACAGCATCCAGCATTACTTTAATTATCTTACTTAACAAATGGAGCGCTGAAGCCTGAGAGGTTACTTGAGCAGCCCAAGACATAAAGTTGCTCCTGACTTTTGGTCCCATGCGCCCTTTACTAGGGACAATGGAAAACCAGTTCAAGTCAGCAGAATCGTCTTCACAGCCAAAAGACGTTCTTAAAAATAAATTCCTCTGTCCATATTTCATTTCATGTTATACCTGTTGTTTCAAAATTGTATTATAGAGGAATCCATTTCAGTAACTATATAGTCTAATCTAAACACATGAAATAAATTGGGCCACTTGTTAAGAATAAGTAGTTTATTTTTCATTCCTTTGTTTAAAAAAATTTCATGATTAAAAAAAAAATCACCATTTTAATAGCCTCAATCAGTTACCTAGTGTGAAAATGAAAATAAATATCTAAGATGAATTCTTTTCAAATTACCCTTCCACACTTTCCTGGAATGAGAAAAAACATGAGCCAGCCTCAAGGCATTAGAGATTAAAGGGTAGGCAAGAGTGTGGAAATGTCCTATAGTCAAGGACTACGATGACAGCCTGAGTAGATCTCCAGAACCTGCAACTAGCTTGCTTCTCTATCCTCTGGAAAGCTTCTTGCTAGAGATCATGATGTCATTAATAGGAGGAGGTGTGTTTATGAAAACTTGCTGGGAAAACACAAGGGTTAAAAAATATGGAAACAGAAGGATGTTGACTATAGTCTCATGCTGATGACGGAGGCTTATTTTACAAACAAAGGTTGAATGATAAATTTTATGGATCTGGATATGAATAGAACAGCTCATTATGTGTCACTCACTAAGAAAATAGAGCATGGGATTATTACATAGAATGTAAGGCATGTATTGTGTTTGACATTACTTTTGAATTTAAATATATGGTCAATATTGTACTAATTTCGGCTCTGTGTAGAATGGTATTAGGACAGTACATGTTTTCAAGAACTGAAATGGCGGGAGTGTCATGGTTGGCTTTTCAAACTGGTTTCTCCAAACACCCTGGAGGAGACAAACCAAACCAAATGGAACAGACGAGTTTCTCCTTTGTGGTCAGACTTTGCTGGGTTAAAGCAGTAATTGAAAAGAGATGCGGGAGGATGAGTCAGAATGCCCCGTCATTGCTTTCTGAAGAGCTGCAAGCATACTGCTTTTATATTGTAATCTTCCAGGTTAAGTGCTGCAATCTTTCATCCAGTTTAAGTACACTCCAAACCAAAAAATTTTATCCTATTCTTTTTCTTCTCTTACCACAAACTCTGGCTTTGGTGGTAGGAAAGGAAGTGAGAAATCTCCACTCGATGTCCAGGAGTCCAGTTTAGGACTAAGACGGCCAATGGTTGGCTTTAATTGTGACAAGGGAGGGTCTTTGAGAAAATCAGTAGCCTACATCTAGTCAACACTGAAAACCTCAAGAGATGCATTTTCCATAGTAACTCACACTTGATTTTGTTATTTTCTTTTAGCCTGGATTCCCTTATTTATTTACTATTGTCTTTAACTTATGGTAATTTTCCCGTATCATTGTCATGTCGGCCATAACATTTCTAAAAAAAGACTCCAAAGAAAGGTGTGCCACAGAGGAAAACCCCGTCTGCGCTGCACTAGGATGTCCGCAGTGAATTTACTCCAGCCAAGAGCGTGTAAAACAGTCTCCCTGGAGTCAGCCCTCTAACCAGTGGGCTTTGGGCAGCTCTGACATAAAATCCGATCGCTCCAGCTCTCGAATGGCTCTTGCGGGTCTGTACCTGACCTCAGAGCAGTGCCCGCAGTTGGCCGAAAGGGCAGCGCGCAGGGCGGAGCCGGGGCTCGGGAGCGCGCCCGGGTCCGCGCCCCTTCCCGCGGCCGGGCGCGCTCGGGGAGTGAGTCTTTGTACAGTCAGGGCTTCAGCTGGGCAGGGCCAGCTGTTAATCCTCCAGGCGGACACCGGGGCGGGGGGGGGGACATGCGGCATATAGGTGACGTCCGCTGGTGAGAAACACTTAGCGCAGGTAAAAGGGTGGAGGCGAGAGGGAGTTCCCACCTGTTGCGTTCTTAAAGAAATGAAGACTTAAGAAAATACCAAGGAGGGGCCGATCGGTGTCTTTCGGACGCGCCTGGAGCCCCACCCTCGGCCAGAGGAAAAGCCCCTTGGGTGAGAGGCAGGAGCTTCAGAGAAATCGAGAAGAAAAGCGCCTCTCCTCGCGCTCCACCTCCTCTGCTCGCACTCCTCCTGCGCGCCGGCCCAGCCTGCACCGGCCGCGGCCCGTGTCTCCGCCGAGCCCTCGCATCCCGGCCTCCGGGTGCCTCGGCCGGCGACCTGTCCCCGAGTCCTCCCATGGCGGCAGCCCGACCCACAAGCTCCCCGAGCGGAGCCCTCTGCCGGCAACTCCTACTGACCCTCACGGTGAGTGGCTGCCCGGCCACCGGCTCCCGGGAGGGGGCTCCGACCGACTGGGGAGAGGAGGGAAACTTTGGAAGCAGGGGTGAGTGGGGGTGGCCGGCAAAGCGGAGGTTAATGGACCTCGGGCTGGGTGAACAAATGGAGTTGGTTGGGGTAGGGGAGGGAAGACGGACAGAGGATAGCGACCGGCGCCGCGATCCCGAAGGAAACGCGAAGAGTGTCTCCATAGATGTAAGCAGCGCTGGCAGATAGGAGACGGAGGCACGAGCTGCAAACGCCCATCCAAAACCGTGGCCTCTGGGTACGAGCGGGGGAGCGCCGTGTGCCAGCGCTGCGCCTCCGCGCCCGCCGCGATTCCCGGGGAAGGCGCAGTCCGCTTCTGCCTCGGTGCGGGGTTCAGGCCGCGGAGAGACGGAGCCGCCGGCTGGGCGTGACGGAAAGCGCGTGTCCTTGGGTGAAAGAGAGGACTACGCGCCTCTAGGGAGATTGCTCTTTGTGTGTGTGTGTTGGGGGTGGGGGGTGGGGTGGGGGTGCAGCGTGGGGGTGGTCTCAACCCTCTGCGCCTAAAGTGAATGGGCGGGCACTAGGTGACCCTTTGCATAATTTCCGTTGTCTGCACGTGAGGTTACTTTCCCCTTAATTTTAGGGGAAGTGATCGTTCCGATCTCTTGTCCCTGGAGGCATCTGGCTGCTTCTGTCCCCCTGCCTTCCTGCTCTGGCTTCTTTCTCACTTGAAACAACACAATAGCAACGACCCTACCTACCCGGAGCTGGGAGCGAAAGGGGCTGGCCTTATTTGGGGCGGGACAACTCCCTCCCTGGCAGCAAAAACCAGAAGATTCCCAGTGAGAGGAATCCAGTGGGAGGGAGCAGCATGGGAGAGTTTGGGGTTAGAGCTTCCGCAGACTGGACGTCCTTGGTTCCCTGGAAGGAGAAAAGTTAAATAGACCAGGTGCAAAAGAGTAGTGTCCTTTCATGATGAGCTTCAGGTTTTGGGGCTCAAGTCAACCTTGAAGGACAAGGGACAAACCTGGAGAACAGACAGCAGGAAGATTCCTTCTGGGAGTATGGAACTGGGGGCCTGAAATATTCGGATAATTTCCCCTTCTCTACTGCTCTCATTTTACAGCAAATTCCTTAAATTTTTAAGTAATGAAATTGTAGTTGTTGCTATTATTAGAATGTCTTTCCCGAGGAACTCCATGGACTTCAAACCCTTAACGAAATTCCCAGAGCACAATAGTAACATAGACAGGGCCAGGTGCACAGCAGTTAACATTCTACAATTGAGGAAACCAAGAATGGAATAAATAACAGTCACGAAATATGTAGTTGATGACAAAGGAATGAATTTTGGTTAGATTCCTGATAAAGTTGCTACTTCTTTTTAAACCATTGGCCATTGTTTTTTGAAGGAAAAGGCTGATTAGGCATGGGCGGTAATAGATGTGGCAATAAATAGCATTGCTCTACATGTGCTTACACACAGAACTTCCTGTGTGTCAGCTCAGATCCTTTTTAGAAGAAAGCAGGTATAAGTGAATAAACTCAAGTTGAATTATCCTCATTCCTTGGCCTTCCTTGGCTTCAAAACTGCATAGGGCAGAAGTGGGGTAGAGAAAAAAAGAGCTCTGGCTCTGGCTGCGCCCCTTGTGCTGCTACATTCTAGCTAGAAGCTTGGCGTGAGTTCCTCAAGTTGTTCTGATGCTCTTGTGCATATTTGTGTGCAAAGCCCTGCCGGCCTCAGATGGTTGTTGTGGTTGTGAGCCCCCAGTGTGATAGAAGATATTATTAAATAAAAATGTCTTTGGGGGACACGCTTTGCATTTCCTCCTCCCCATACACCTAAGTAATCCTTCACTGTTCTATAAATCAGCCTCTCCCACTTCCTAATACTGCCTCACCTCGCCTGTTTCTTAATCACTTGAACTCTGGCTTCTGCCTAAACACCGAGTGAAGCTTCTCTAAGATCATCAGGGATCTCCACTGCTAAATCCAAATCATTCCTTACACAGTTCCACCTTGTAGATTGTGCCTTTACTCCTGAAATTCACTCCTCTCTTCTTCCACCCTTCCTGACCACCTTGACTCCCTATTCTCGGTCCTGTTCCTAAAATATACCGATGCCTACACATATTAAATTTGTATTGCTAACATGGATGTCTTCATTGAACAACAGGCCTTTATATCTCTCTACCTACTATGATGTGTTACACAGCATTTATTATCTTCCCAGACAATGTTGCTTTTCTTCTAGTGTTCTGTATTTCAATAAATGACACTACCGTACACCTCGTTCCTCAAGTAGGAAGTCTACAAGCTGTTTGTTTTACCTTCCTCACTGCTCCCCTCTCCTAATCCATCATTGAGTCCCATTATATCTACATTCAGAAATATCTCATATCTCAATATCTTTACTTCTGTCCATCACCTCTGCTATTACTTTTTGCTATTACAAATAATGTCACAATGAATAAACTTGTATATATATCATTTCATATACGGGCAGGTATATCTATAGAACAGATTACCAGAAATGGGATTGCCAGATAAAAGTGTAAATGACTGGATAATTTTGGTAGATGTTACTAGCTCCCTCTTTCCTCCGTAAAAGTTGTATGTGTGTATATATATATATAGTATGAGACTACTTGGTCTAGGCAGTTGTTTGGCAAAAGGTAAATTTGAATTCATACCTCATGCAGGACACCACAGAAAACTCCAAACACATGTAAGATTTAAATGTAACATGTATACCATATTGATAATAGAGGAAAACATGGTGAATTTCTATTTAAATTTGGAGTCAAGAAGACCTACTTATGGCTCAGATTTCAAAGCCATTTATTACAATTGAGAAAATCAATTATATTAAAACACACACACACACACACACACACACACACTTGTCCATGGCAAAAAACTAAACCAAACCAAAACGTCATAAGCAAAGTCAAAGGTAATTGATAAACTGGAAAAAAATATTTGCAGATCATATTTTAAAAGGCTAATCTATTAATATATAAAGAGGTCATATAGCATGAAGTCAAACATGAACATAGACATGAAAAATACCCATAAGGTAATAAAAATGGCCCATAAAAATCTTTCAGCCTCACTCATAATAAGAAAAGATGAATTTAAAACTGCATTGAAATCTCATTTCTCATTTGGTAAACATCCAAGAGTTTGGAGAAATAGAAACTCCCGCAGATTGTTGGTGAGTGTAACAAAAAGTTACAACCTTTCTGGACTGTATACACTTATATCAAATGCAAATAGATATTGTTTTACTTCTTCCTTTTTAATTTGTATGTATCTAATATCTTTCTATCTATTCATATACCAGCACTGCATTTTGTTAATTATTGAGACTTCATAGAATCTTTCAATATCTGCTAGAGCTAATATCCTTTTATTGCTTTCCTTTTTCATAATTTTCCTATCTATTCTTAACTATTTATTTTTCCTTATGACCTTTTAAATCAGCTTATCTAGTTCCAGAAAAAACGTTAAGATTTTTATGGGATCATAAAATTTAAAATTTAACTTAGTGAGAATTGATATATTTATGTTGTTGATTTTTCCTATCCAAAAGAATTATATGTCTTTCTTTTTGTGCAACTCTACTTTTGTGTCCTTCAGAAATGTTTTCAGATTTTTCTCAAATAGGCTTTACATGTTTCTTGTTAAGTTTATGCCTTGGCATTCTCACTTCTTATTGCTTTTGAAAATCATTTCTTCTCTTCCATTATATTATTCAACTGGGTTTATTTATGTGTCTGAAGACTAATGATTTCCGTATTTTAATAGTTACTTCTGCTCCTTTACCCAAATTATGTTATTGTTTTATAGTAATTTATTGGTTGATTTACTTGGGTTTTCCAGTAAATCCACATCAAATGCAAATAGAGATTTTTTTTTAACATCTTCCTTTCCAGTTCATGTGCGATCTAATATCTTCCTCTTGCCTAATATACCTTAATGTGATGTTACTCATTAATGATGACCTTGGAAAGTCTATCTTCTTTCTGAATTTAGTGGGGCTGCCTCTAGTGCTTTCCCATTGATGTTGTGATTATAATATAAAAATCATGTTGAAAGAAGTATTTATCAATTTCTGTGTTTTGAGCCTTTTTAAAAATATGTAAGTATAGTTACTGAATTTGTTCAAATGTCTTTCAGCATCTATGGTGGTGATCACATGCCAGGTCTTTTGTAAACTAATTAATGGCTTGAGGTTCCTAGACAAAGCGAGTGATGTGAATGTGGTCCACAAATCCACGCAAGGGCCGGTTTACTTCTGACTCAACCTTAGAATGAAGGTTTAGCATTCGAGGTCCTAGTGGGCCCCTAGTCTCTCAGATCTTAGGCAGCCCATGCTTTGATTTCGCTCTCTGAGGCCATCAAACCAGAGTCAAATCTTTTCAAATTGGAAGTCATTTCTCGGTTCCTCTTGCCACTCTGTGTTCTAGCTTTATCCTCAGTTTTTGCCTAGCAATTCCTTGCTATATGTTTTAGGATGGTTAAAAAAATGTATCCATCATTTTTAGTTTGGGCATGGGAGTTTGCCTGAATGAACTAGTTGCCGTTTTTGGAAATGAAAATCGTTCCCCTCTGACCCATTCCCACTGGTCAAACTTAACCTTATTCAAATAGAGAGCTACTTATGTAATTTATCTGCTTAAAGCGAATCTGTGGTTTCTTATTATCTTTAGGAAAAAAGATCCATATACTTTGTTAATGCTGTCCCAGTTCTCTGAATCCATTTTAGACATCTGTCCCTCTTATGCTATATGCATCAGCCATTCCAGATTTCATTTTCAGGTCTGTGTCATCGCTGGGCCTTAACATATCCACTCTGCCTCCTTTTGACATGGCTAACTTGTGGCTACTCTTTGGGTGACATCACCTGGCTCTTTTTTTTTTTTTTTTTTGGTGAGGAGGATTGGCCCTGAACTAGCATCTGTTGCCAATCTTCCTTTTTTTGCTGAGGAAGATTGGCCTTGAGCTAGTGTCTGTGCCCATCTTCCTCTATTTTGTATGTGGGACACCGCTACAGCATGGCTTGAGCAGTGTGTAGGTCTGTGCCTGGGATCTGAACCCGTGAACCCCAGGCCGCCAAACTGGAGTGTGTGAACTTAGCCACTATGCCACTGGGTTGGCCCTCACCTGGCTCTTGAACAAAGCTAGTTCCCAGTGCTCTTCCCTAGCACCCTGTACTTCCCCATCATAGGATTCATCTTACTTTACTGAAATTACAAATGTCTTACCCTTGAACTGAATGTTTCATGAAAATCACGTTTACTCTGTCTGGTACATAGTAGAGATTCAATAAATACTTATTGAGTGCAAAATGAATGGATGTCCAGGACACTATTATCCAAAGTATTATCTTAATCTGGCCATTTCTCACCTTGTTCAACATTTTTACCTTGGTCCAAGTCACCATCCTCCCCCTCTTAGACTCCTCCTGTAGCTTCCAACTTGGTCTCTTTGCTTTCACTCCTGCTCCTCTGTGGTCTATTCTCACATAGTCACCAGAATGATTCTATGTAAATACTCTCCAGATTATGCCGCTCTGCAGCTTCTAAACTGCTGTTGCTTCTCTTTGCATTCAGAATAAAATCTGCACTCCTTAATACAGCCTGTTAGACTCTGCGTGATACGTCCCTGGTTGTCGCTTTAATATCATCTTGTGTCACTGTTTCCTCACTGTGCTCTACTACTATGACCTCCTTTTTGTTCCTCCAACACACCAGGTGAAGTCCTCCTCCAGACCTTTGTTCTGGTTTTTGCTCCCCCTGGAAGACTCCTCCCCAGTCAGTGAACTGCTTTGCTTCCTCATTTCATTTAGGCTTCCGGTCTTCCCTTGGTAAACCTTTCTCCCTGCTTTATTTTTCTCATAAACAAATTGCAACATTTGTCTCTTGGCATTATGTGACCTTTGTGCATTTGTGTATTTTTTTTTTTTTTTTGTCTCTCATTCTAACATAATCTCCATGAGGTCAAGGACTTTGCTTTGTTCACTGCTGTAGCCTTTGAACACTGCCTAGCACCTAGTAAACAATGAATGTTAGTTGAGCGAATAAGGGGATATATGCTTTCAGTCATCTCGAGCTGGACTCCTCAGTCATCTGATTCTATTCCTATTCTCTCTCGACTCTGCAGCCTGTGAAATTCATTTCATCTTTTAATTTCTAATTCAAATACAGTCTCTCCATTGTGTCCATCTGTAAATTCCAAATGAAATGTAATCTCTGTCTTGCCTGATCCTTCACATATAATTTAAAGGGGATAATTAAAGGTTCTTTAGTGTGTATTGCAAATAAAAATTTTCATCTAAATTTTGATGATTTTAATTTGTGTTTATAGATTTTGTAAATAACAGTGTAAATGCTAGTTAGCTATCTCGCTTTTGGTTGAAGGCCTTGGCAGAACTATAGAAAAAAATTGTGGTCTTTCAGAAGCGTCTGTTGTAAAGTTTCAGAGGGAACAGAATTAAATTTCAATGTGTTCAAATATATATTGTATTGGAGTTGGTTCACCATAAATCAGTAACTCATTTAAAAAGTTTTAAGTGAAATATTTTCTAAAATGACCTTAACTCTGGTTTATGAGAAGATGCACCTTCAAATTAAGTTCATATTTAAAGTTATTTGCTTGTTTGTGTGGGGTCATACATAAATACTCTCCAAGTCCCTCCAAGGCGATAAGTTAATGCTTCTCTTTAAAAACATTGGGATTTTTGTTTAGGATATTATTAATTTGGTATCGTAGCTTGTAGGCAATTTTGAATTAATTGAAATAATTTGCTAGCTCATCACATTTGTTTTGGTTTCACTTTCCTATTTACATACCTGTGCTGCCTTCCTCATGGTTTTTAGGGCTCTCACATAGGTTGGCATTTGTTTCTCAATATATCCACTGACTTAGAGAAGTTCCTGTTAACTCCATTTTACAGAATAGGAAACAAAGTCCAAGAGGGCAAGGAATTCTGAGGTTACATGCTTTGTGAAGGAGGGAGCCATGACTCTCAGTCTATTGTTTTATTTTTCCCCTCCATACAATTTTTTCTGATTTCTTACTCCAGTAAGAAAATCAGAAATGGAGAAAACTCCCTTACTTCATTTTGCCAACTATAAAAACTGATTTGTAATTATACAAATTTATAATTTATATAAAGTATACATGCATGAAAAGGATTTTTTATGCATAATTTGATTTGATTTTTTAGATCTTAACATTTGCCTGTGATGCCTGCAAAAAAGTGACGCTACATGTTCCCTCCAAACTAGACGCTGAGAAATTTGTTGGTAGAGGTAAGAAACTGCCAAAATATGAAATACATCCTAATTTGATGTGCTCTTGTAAAATTAGTATAAATTTTTAGAAGGATAACTGTATTGGAACTAATTAGTTAAACTAATATAGTACATTATAATTGGTAATACATACAATGTCATTCCAATGAAAGGAATATTGGTTTTTATTGAAAAATATGATTATATGAAGCAGATAAAAAGGTTTAGTTTCAGTAATAAAATAATTATCAATATTTACATTAGATGAAGGATATGGTATATGTTATAACATGCTTCTATGAAATTGTGAAATAGTACTGAAACTATTTCTTGAGTTGTTGTTTTTGGATTTTCATCCTAAAACATTTTGGCGTCTTATTGACATTTAGATTCACATATTGTTTTTTATCAATTAATTTTTTTCACGTAACTCAACTGTGAAAAGATCAAATCAATGAGAACACAGAATATGATGACTATTTAACAATAAAGAGTTCAGTAATATTTTAATTTAACTACCAATTTTAATCCTCTAGATATTGTTTAATTTACTTCAAGTGTTCTTATGTGTTACTCTATAGCTAATTTCAGTTAATAAAGAAAGACTTTTTTCGATGTCAGTTTAAATATTCAAACACTGGAGTTCGTACGCTTTTATTTCAAGACAGACGTCTCTTCTTTAAAAAGATGTAAAGTAGGTATTAGAAGTGATGTATTTAAGCACAACTTAATTAAACATATGGTTTCATTTGTCCTTTTACAAATGCAAAATTTAAAAGTGGCAGTGTAATTAATTTTAAGTTTTTGGCTCCCCCACCAAATATGTAGATTACTGTTAAAACTCTATATTGTTTTGTTTTACCTTACAAATGATTGCTATGTATATTGTCTACAGTTAACCTGAAGGAGTGCTTTAAATCTGCAAATCTAATTCATTCAAGTGATCCTGATTTCCAAATTTTAGAAGATGGTTCAGTCTATACAACAAATGCTATTCTTTTGTCCTCGGAGAAGAGAAATTTTACCATATTACTTTCCAACACTGAGAACCAAGAAGAGAAGAAAATATTTGTTCTTTTAGAGCATCAAACAAAGGTATACAAAACCATAAAAATGAAATATTTTCTTCCAGTGTAACTAGCATTACCAAGAAAGACGTGGAATCAGAAAGGATATGGAATAGTTTAGCTTGAAGAAGAATGAAAACCATGACAGAATTTAAGTGTTCAAATGGAAAAGGGTTGTGCAATATAGGTTATTACAGATTGTAATTCCTTTCCATGTGGGACACAAAAGGAGAAATTGGGATATGCTGCGGAGTAAGAACTTGAATTAGACACAAAGCAGTATTTTTCTTGACTGTAGAATAGATTTCCAAAACCAAGTTTTGAAACTCTGTCTCTGGAGGTCCCATGTATCTTAGCATAGTTTGTAGTCTTAGAAAATAGATGACTATTTTAGGTTGAGGTTCCTATGAGGTTGAGGACCTTATATAGCTTGAGGACCTCAAGCATCTTATTATATTGTGACGTCCAAGATCAAAATGACTTCTATTCAACCATTGGCCATGACTCACTGCAGCAATTTGAGAGTTGTCACCATGTTTTTCTCCTCGTTCTGACACAGATCTCTCTGTTGGTCCCCTGGCTCTTCCTAGTTACTGGTGAGTGGAAGATGCTTATGCTAAATTTAGAAGGGCACACACTCTATTTTCTTTACGAATCTCTCCTCCCATGTGTTTGCATGGCAATATGGCAACAGTAATTTTTTTTTTCAGTTTTGCTTCTAGGCTTCCAATTCCATCTCTCTTTCTTCCATATTTCTACCAAGTTATTTTCTCAAGAAGATGGCTGTGATAACAGGGCAGCCATTTCTTCATTGCATTTTTGCAGTGTTGACGTTTAGTTTGGTTTTCAAGCACTACCGTGGTTTTCCACCTCCCCAGCTAATCCTCACGAGAGGAGAAAGATGGATCAGAGTTCTGATGTTTGAGAATAAAGTAGTCATTCACTTTATCATTTATTTTTCTTTCTTCTAAATTGAGGTACTAAAGAAAAGGCATTCTAAGGAAAAAGTTCTAAGACGTGCCAAGAGAAGATGGGCTCCTATTCCTTGTTCAGTGATGGAGAATTCCTTGGGTCCTTTCCCACTTTTTCTGCAACAGGTACACTTTACTTTTCTTCCACTGTGAAAGTTTGTGGTTTCCATCTTTTTTTTTTTATTTGGACAATGAATATGCAGTTATGTAAAAAATAGTTGTGTATGAATATATGAGTGAATGAGTATGTGTATTATGGGTGTAAATAGATATCTTTATACCTATGTATACTTTTTGAAATTTTAGTCATGCAAAGGCCATTTATAAAACTGTAAAACTCATCTAGCACTCGCAAACACATGGTTTCTTAATGAATTTTCGTATCAGCAAGGGTATCACAGAGCCTGGGCATAGTCTAGAAAACCCCATTATTATCTTCCATAATGAAGGATGAAATCGCTGATAAAAGAACAAATGCCATGAAGGGGAAAGACATACACCTTTCTGTTGCTTATCTCCAAGTCCACTGCTTAAATCACGCTGGATCCACATTTTCTCTCTCTCTTTTAATTTTACTGGCACTCCCAGCAAATCTTGCTGTCTTCCAATATTAGCGGACACTAACTTTCAGTCTATGACTTGGGTTTCTTTTCCCTCAGTTTTTGAAATGGTGAAAGAGAATCTTCCTTTATATTCCACCAACAAATTTAATGCAACTGAGAGAAGCGCATATTAAAGTTGAGAAAGAAATTGTTAGAAAATAATTGTGTTCATCATCCTGATACAAGAGGATGAAAACAACTTTGAAAAAACTTACTTTTTGAATCAGAATATCACACTTGCCAGGAGATTGCGCCATTTCTATTCTCGTTTTCTTTCCCCCTCTCAGCTCTTATAATAAAGAGGATGCTGACAAATAACAAAAACCAATTAGGGAAAGCATTTTCCAAGTTTTTGCCCTGCAGACAGTATATTTTAAACCCAGTGTCTTACATATCATTTTATGTATAATAAAAATTCAGGTTTAAAAAAATTGACAAAAGGAAATGTTAAATGCTCAGAATACTTTGTTTTCTAAGACAGGAAAAGTCTTAAATGTTTGGTCCATATAGGCACCATTTAGCCTTTAAAGTATTCCTCAGTTATTCTGGCAAACTAAGATGATACTATGTTATTTTCCTCAGGTCTTGCTCTTGAAATCTCTCAATTATTAGGCTGCCTTATTCTATTGCTGCTTTTTATTCATACATAATAATAAATTAAAGAGGGTGATTACTTACTGCAATAAATATGGCAATGTGATTACCATATTGCTGAAAGTTTTGCTGAAATAAAAATTTGTCTCTTCTATATATAATGTCTATTTTCTAGATTCAATCTGACACGGCACAAAACTACACTATCTACTATTCCATAAGAGGGCCTGGAGTTGACCGAGAACCTAAAAATTTATTTTATGTGGAGAGAGATAGTGGAAACCTGTTTTGTACTCGTCCTGTGGATCGTGAGGAGTATGAATCTTTTGAGGTAAAGTCTAAAGTTTACCGATTGTATAAGTAGTTATTAACGTTGGCTATTTCATCTTTCATTCTCAATTCATTTGCCCTTTTCCGTTTTCTGAGTTTTTGTTCTATGCTCTGGCTGTATCTGATATCACAGACTTAACTTGAAGCAAAAAGAATTTTATAGAATAAATGGCATTAGGTTCTATTAGATTGTTATTGGTATTATAGTTTTACTATTTTTTTTTTTTTTTCAAAAGAAGAAAAGAGTACCACGTTGAAGAGCAGTTATTTAGTTGGCAGAAAAGATCTGTGAACCTCTTTATGGTACAGAGAGAGAGACCATAGGGGGTAAGTGAAGTTCAGAAGTTAAGCATCTGTACTTTTGCAATGAGAGAAAGTTAACTTGTGGTGAGCCAGTGAGGAGTGTAGACAGTGCTTAACTAAGATTATTCAGTGTTTTCACCATCTGGTTAACTTCCCATGGTGGAAATGAGAGTTAATATATAAGAATTTAACCTACTGTTGTATTGATTTCCCAATAGGACCTGGTCATTTTGCTTACTTCAATTTTAATTATTTTACATCTATTTTGAATGAATGAATTATTCATCGGTAGACCAAATTAACTGAATAGACATGTAAATTTTGAGTTAAATGTTTAGGTTTAGAATTGCTACAACATGGCCTTCTAAGTACCTGTGATGTTCTGCTCTTTCTTTGATAGCTGTTATGAGAAAGATTGGACTTGAAATTCGTATTATAAAACCAAAAGAAATTGCATTCCACACACAATATGCAGGCATTCGTCTATTTCTGACTCCTTGTTTTCACATTTAAAAATACTTATGAAGAGAATTATTTAAATATAACCATCAATATGCCTTAAATCCTAAATAGTAGAAAATAAGATAATATTCCAGTTAACTACAGCTGGGGAATTTGGAATCCTCAGAGTTTGAAGTTAAATAAGATCCAGAAAGTTGTATTTTAAATCCATGCACCTGAAACTTTCAAACAAAACAAAACAGTCCTCAAGACTATTTTGGGAAAATAATAATAAAACTGTTACACTCATGAGCAACAATACAGCAATGGTGAGGAAAGCAAAATTGTCTATGTTATTATATTACATAAATTTAAGCATAAAATGTTATAGTACCCCATGAAATTAACCACCTCTTGTAGCACCAAGGTTATGTCCATATCTAAAAACAGTAACAAGTGGTGAAACTCACACTGCAATGCTGAACAGTTTCATTTTTGCTGTTTTTCTTATTTTACTCTCTTCACAGCTAATTGCCTTTGCAACAACTCCGGATGGATATACTCCAGAACTTCCACTGCCCCTAGTAATCAAAATTGAGGATGAAAATGATAACTACCCAATTTTTACAGAAAAAACTTACATTTTTAAAGTAGCTGAAAACAGCAGAGTTGGTGAGTACCTACGTTAACAATATATGGGAGGCAGCACATCCTGCTGGCAAGAACAAGGGACTTGCCAGTCAGGCTGCTGTGGGTGAAATTTTACTCTGCCTTTCACTAGCTGTGCACTGTGATCTTGGGCAAGTTTCCTTATTGATAGCCTTAGTTTCCTTATCTATAAAATGGGATGTCAGTGTGCAAGGTTGTTATGAAGATTAAATGAAGCATAATACACATGGAATGCCAAGCACGGTGCCTGCAAAATAGGGGTTAATCAATAAATATTACTTTGCCTTCCTGCGTGAGATAAAATAAGTACGTGTAAGAGAAAGTACTCTAAAAAGAATGTTTTTGAGCAACTGAAATCTTAGCCTTGAAGAGAGGTACTGGTGTTCTATACTGTCAAATGATTGACAGTATTCTGGGCATTATCATAAAGGTCTTTGAGAATAATACAAATGTTTTCTCAATCTTATGGAAATGGACCATTTCAGCTGGAAGTCAGAATGCGGTTTTCAAGTCTTCCTCTAGAAAGATCTAACTAAACCGAGATTTTTCAGAGAAACCTGACCCATCTAATCTATTTATGTGCAGGCTTACAAAAAGAAAAAGATTAAAGAATAATTAGAATTCCTTAGTCTAGAAATACAAAGGCCATGAAAGGATGTTATGTATATTTATAAAATTATACATTAAATACAGTAAATATGGATGTGGTCACTAAATTCCAAAATGTTAGAATGCTGGGATACTTAAGAGGAAGTGGTACTTTATATAGAAGTCTGCAAATTTGTAAAAGCTGTTACTCTGATATATAGTTAAGTGGTCCAAAACTTTTTTGAGATAGATGGAGAGGAGTGAAATAAAGGGAAAGTTGAAAATGTAAAAGTTTTGGAAATTAAAGAGGATTTTTCAATATGTAGGTTCTACTGTGGGACAGGTATGTGCAACTGACAAAGATGAACCTGACACGATGCACACGCGTCTGAAGTATTCTATCCTCGCGCAGTTGCCAGCATCACCCACGCTGTTTTCTATGCATCCAACTACAGGCGTGATCACCACATCATCCTCTCAGCTAGACAGAGAGGTAACATAAATATTAACAAATAAAACCTAATTATCACATGACTATTTAGTAGTACGTGTATTTCTCTGTGTATCAACTGTAGATATGTTTTGAGAAGCATGTTGTGAATCTAATTTTAGAAAAATTATTATTTTAAGTATGTTGATGGAGGTCACTAACTTTGCAGTGTGCCAGTTTTGAACTACTAATTTGTTCTCTCCTGAATTGTATGTTTTATTAAATCAAATTTCCTAATATAAATGTTATTTATAGTATATATACTTGGACTATAATATATACACTTTACTATAGTATTTATAGTATAAATACTATATATTTATAGTAAAAACAAGAAATGTCAAATATGAATGGTGAAACTTGTGGAAATGTTTGGAAATTTGTTCTCTGCAGGTAATAATGATTCTTCTGTCTGTGTCGTCTCTTCCTCAACAATCTCATCTACATTCTTCCCCTTACATAGATTAAGAGAAAGGTTGTATCTCTCTGATCTCTGGTTTACCATTTTCAATTGACTGCTAGAAATCTTTATTTGTATATTTCACAGGTACCTAAAATGCAATACATCTAAAATTGAATTTGTCCTTCCTTCTAAACATGCTTTCCTTCCCATGTCTTCTAGTTAAAATAACATTACTACATTCTTTTCCTATTAATAATTTTTCATTGCCACCTTGGATTCATGTTCTCAAAATTGTATTTGATTTCTCCTCTTGCCCCCTAGATCAAGTCACTTTTTAAAGCATGTTAATATTACCTCCCAAATTATCTTACATTTATATTCTGTCCATTTCCACTGCAACTATCCTAGTTTAGTAATTCATTCACTTGGTTATTCAACTGTTACCTCCTCCACCAAGCATTTATTGATCTGAATTCTTATAGCAGTTTATCTGGCCTACTTACTGCATTTATAATCCTTAATCTTAAAATATAGTAATATATGTTTGTCAGGTATTTCTTCGATTCCTAAAACTTCATATCAGATTCATTTCCTCTCCCTCTCCCTATCTATTAGAGATCCTCAATTTTCTGGTTTCAAGACCCCTTTACACTCTTAAATATTATTGAGGATTCCAAAAATCTTTTGTTTATGTGGGTTATATTTATAGATATTTACTCCAGTTAGTATTCAAAACTGATAAAAGTTTAAAATATGCATTTATTTACCCATTTAAAATAGTAATAAATACATTACATGTTAACATAACATTTTTATAAAAAATAAGCACATTTTTCAAAACGATAAATAATTTAGTGAGAAGAGTGGAATTATCATGCATTTTTCAAGTCTCTTTAATACCTGACTTAATACAGGACTGGTGAATTCTCACATCTCCTGCATTCAGTCTGTTATAATATGTAGTTGTAGCCGAGGTATATAAAGAAAATCCAACATGATATGAAGTTAGAAAAGGGAGGAGTATTTTACTGGTAATTTCAGATCATTTTGGATATTGTTCTTTAATACTACACCAAAAATTGACAAGTGGTAGTTTCATAAATGTTTTTTGCAGTGCTCATTGTAAAGCCTTATCAGTGAACTTTCTGGCTTTGTTACATTAAAATCCATTGGTCTATCTCATTCTGTGAGTGGATGGTTTACCCATGTGCGATTTTGTAACATTATGCATTGGTCATTTGGAAAATATTGGTTCACTGAGTTATGAGATCTTCCAAATATTGACACATTTCATTAAACAATAATGAAAAAAATCACCTCCTCACCTCCAGTGATATCACACTCGTTGATAAAAGTTTTCCAGAATTCTCATTTTTGCTTGAAAACTCCAGTTTATCAATGGCAACAAATAGTTGTTTTCCTCAAATTGACAGAATCATTTTATGTGTGACGAACTGTCTTCCAAATACAGTAGTCTGAATAAGCTTGGGTATCTTTAATGTAAAAATGGTATCCTATGAGAAAAACAACTATAGCTAGTTAGCTCCTAAATCAAACAATCACACAAGTACTTTTTCTTGAGAAAAACATCATACTATGTTATGTAGCAGAAAAGTTTAATGCATATCTCTCATTTCTTCACATAGACTATGGGTTGAAATTTAATAAAATTTAATAAAATTAAGCATTTTTACTGTACCTACAAGGACATTTCTAAGTGAAATTTTATTTTATTAACAGTTTATTTTATGATTTATAAATTCATTTATTTTTACTGTGAGTATGTGCCAGTGAAGAATACAATAGCATTTGCTGAATAAATGAATGAATTAATTGCTGTTACAGCTCTACAAATTATACAGATCCTTCATGGAATTTATGTGTCAGGGGAAGCAGATTATAAACCAGATTCTCTTTTATCATCAAGTCTTGAATGGATCCTTCTGATAAATCACTTGAAAACATTTGACTAATGAAGGAGTCTTCGAATACGTTTGCCCCAGACTGCTCTGGAGCCACTTTTTGACCCCGGATTTCCAGTTCTCATCTGTTACCTTCAACCCTTTAAGCCTCTTAAACATCAGAATTTTTCTTTTCCATCTGAAGATAGCACAAGCTAATATTTAGGTCCACAAATCTTCATTTCTTTCTTTTGTCAGCCAATTGATTACTTCCAATAGTTCTTAGTTTGCTACAAACAAAATATGTATTCTCTCCTGAAAGTATACTAACATGAGGTTTTTAAAATTTTTAAATGAAATAAGGCCATTATTTTTCAAGTCTACATATGTGATTGGTTATGAGAGAAGAGTAAATCGGAAAAATTATGTGTGTAAAAAGCATAGAGATTGAGAGAAATTTTAGTTTTATTTTAGATAATGCATGAGGACAAGAAAGTTTAAGAGGTGATGGAATTAAGGGAAGAAGGTGGCAATGTAAGAGAAGGGTGAATATTCTAGGAAGAAGGTTAGGATAGTTTTTCACATATTATTTTGTCTTATGAAAAGAGGTGAATTATAGGAAAGTTATCATTGTTTTATAGAAGAGGAAACCTAAGTAAAGAGAATTTTCCAACTGCCCTGAGATTACATTTGTTACTTTTGGAGTTGGGAATAGAACCCAGTCTCCTAATGTTCAGTCTAGAAGGCATTATTAGTGTTGTTTTTACTCCTTCTCTATCTCAATTACTTATGATAAATGAAACCTTTATGAGGAGAAACACATTTTTTTAGACTAGTCATGAGCCTTCTGTAATCTCTGATGAATGGAAAGCCCTAAGAGCCAGATTCTATTTTCCGTTGATAGAAAGGATTACATAGCCCTAGACCTTTGTTTTCATGTGAACTTAGTGATCTTTTTATAAATGTAAGGTAAATATTTAAAAGCTATCTGTTTTACAGGAGGATATTTCACTTTATTGTTTTATTACAAGAAGGGTATAAGAGTCACTGTTACCTATTTTTGAAATAGAATGTTCTTTGGATAGGAGATAAAGATTTCCATTAATTGCTGGGCAATTTTAAATGTGCTATGGCTATATCTTTTCTTTTTGTTGACTAAAGCTAAAACCAATTGATTCCATATTCTCTGAGTAGCACTTTAAATTTGAGAAACTACCCTATTTTCATAAATTAATTGAAAATTACTAGTGTGAGGAAATTTTTCTTCTGCCAGTATGTGAAAGTATGAAATTTAATAGCATACTTAAATTTTTAATGCAAGGAAAATTATAGAGTGTAAATTAAGATTTCATTTATAATATTGCTTTCACTCAATAATTCAGTTTCACTTTCTTTTCAGTTAATTGATAAATACCAGTTGAAAATAAAAGTACAAGACATGGATGGTCAATATTTTGGTTTACAGACAACTTCAACTTGCATCATTCATATTGAAGATGTGAATGACAACTTGCCAACATTTACGCGTACTTCTGTGAGTACATGATACTATCAAAAGAAAAATGTACGCTCAGTGTTAATTGCTAAATATGCACATCTCCATCCACGCCCAATGATTTCAAGTGAAGTAGCCCCACTCACAGCAATTTGGACTTAGGGCTTAAAATCATGTAAACATGGTACTTTGGAAATTAGAAGAACTGGGCTTACCTTACTTAGTGTTCTGTTTTTGTGAGAGTTACCGATTAAACTCTTTTTGTTTGTTTTTATTATTTTAGTATGTGACATCAGTGGAAGAAAATACCATTAATGTGGAAATCTTACGTGTTACCGTTGAAGATAAGGATTTAATAAATACTGCTAATTGGAGAGCTAATTATACTATTTTAAAGGGCAATGAAAATGGAAATTTTAAAATTGTAACAGATCCCAAAACCAATGAAGGAATTCTGTGTGTGGTTAAGGTAAGAATAAATTAATAAATTAGTTAATTTTGTCTTATAATTTCACAGATCAGCATACTAAAGTTTAATAACAAGAAATTCTGTTAAATGTAGGAATAAAATAGGTATATAAGTAAATGTAAATGCTATATATAATGGAATGAATGTATTCATTTCGGGGAACTTTTTATAAAGGTATGATTTAAAATATACATATATATGTGTGTGTGTGTATGTTCAATTAATATGATATAGTATCCACTTTGTAACCAGTATCTCTTAACAGTTCAAAAACTAGCACAGCTTCGATTCTGGTGGGACAGTGCCAGACTTTCCTAGCCAGTTTGTCTCTGCAGCTGGATCAGAGAGCCTCCACTTATTTACTGAATTTCCCAAATGAGGAGTTACTCCTGGTCAGACCCATAGGGAGGCTGTTTCTAAGTCTGTCTGTCTGTATCCAGAGTACATTACATCCTTAGCTTCCTGGTTCAAAATAGGAATCCTCAACCATTCAAAGACATAAATTCTTCTAAAACCTCTTTCTAATCATATTCTACAGCATCTCAAAGGAACTCACAGCTAATTCAGGGGCCAGAGTTAGTCCATACAGTGATCTGAGCACCTTTGGCTTTGGGCAGAGTCATAGGCTTATTTCTGTTGCATCTTTAGCTAGCACATGATTCTATTGTGGATCTATAGAGTTTCCCTTTTGTACGTATTCACAAGAAGCGTGGATCAAAAATGATGAATCCTTTTTTCTTACAATGATGAAAATTAGCTGCAGTTTGTGGGTTAATGTCTCAGTTTCAAAGCAACAAAGAAAAGTCCTTTAAATCTTGTCTCTTTCTTCACCCAACGTCTACCCTAATTCTTGGTATTATAAGAAGGAAATTTATCTCTGTGAAATCCAAGACCAAACAAAATTTCTGTCTTCTAGAAAACGGCTTCAACCATTCTCATTACAGCTACATATCAAGCAAAGTCAAATAAAAACTTTCCATTAAGCTTGGTACTACCAGTTCTTTAGAAAGTAACTGGGACGGAAGAGATAAAAAAGGAGAGTGTAACGTCCACAAGCTTTCTGTTTTCTTGTTTCTCCCCTCTTAAAAATATTTTATAAAATTTGACCCATGTTTTCTACCCTAAACCAGGTACAAATAATTTTATTCATCTCAGGAGGGTAGAATAAGCTCTTCCCAAATTAATGGAGTAATAACTGTTGGTTAGGGCGTGGAGTCCCTAAAGTAACATCTCAAGGGTTAACCTTGAAACACCTTCTTTAAATACTTTCTGAAATCATTATCGACATCTATGATATTACTTGTGTTAAATTTGCAGTTGAGGAACAGTTGTTTTTTTTTTTTTGCTGGCTCCGTCCAAATACGGAATCAGTTGAAGGATTCCCCGCCTCCAACCACCACCACGTTTCTGGGTATATGTTTAATATTCTCATGACCATTCCCCAATACAGCACCTACATATTTACAAATTTAACTAGTTATATACACTAGTTAGCATTGCCAAATATTTAATGTCTTGATCTGATTTTCAACACGCTTGCTTTTGCAGTCGCTGAATTATGAAGAAAGACAACAGGTGAACCTGCAAATTGGTGTCACTAATGAAGCTCCGTATTCCAGAGAAGTTAGTTCAAGATCAGCCATGAGCACAGCGGCCGTTACTGTTAATGTGAAAAATCAGGATGAGGGCCCCGAGTGTAGCCCAGCGTTGCAAACTGTTCGAATTAAAGAAAATGTACCAGTGAGAACAACGAGCAATGGATATAAAGCATACGACCCAGAAACAAGTAGCAGCAGTGGCATAAGGTATATTTCTAATTCTATTCAGTTAACTCCACATTTACTATGTTTTAAAATTTATAACTTATTTTGGTACCAGTATTATAATTTGGCTTATGATACATTTTGTTATTTTAATTCATCGTTATTAACAGGTATAAGAAGTTAAAAGATCCAAAAGAATGGATCACTGTTGATGAAAACTCAGGATCAATCACAATTATCAAGAGCCTGGATAGAGAGGCAGAGAACATCAAAAATGGCATATATAATGTCACAGTGCTGGCAACAGATGAAGGTAAGAACTTTGTTTTTAAGCCAGCTACTTACATCCCCAGCTACATACATCCTCAGTTTTTAAACGAACAACATACATTTTTAAGTCAGCTGCATACATTCTCGAAATTTAGTTCTCACAGGTGACATATAGAGTAGTTGAGAGGTTTGCTGTAATTTATTAACTCATGTCTGCTTTCTGTTAGCACCCTCAGTTTTAGCTGTAATGATAAAATAATTTAGTCATAGAAATACTTGAAACCATATTTATTAAAATTAAATAATCATTAAAAATTGAGAAAATTACTTTTGAAAAATTAACTTCAGTTTATCTAGTTATATCTTTTAAAATATTCACTTTGGCAGGAAAATTCGTTACGGAGAGAACATACTTAATACCCCATAGTGCACTCCTAGAAAACAGTTCTATCTTTTTATAAGAAACTAACAATATATTTGGGGGTTAGAATCCTGATTAAGGACATTATATAAAAATAAGTCATAGTCATGCTTAATAACATCTTACAGAATTAGAAAGACAAACACTATGAATTCATGTTGTATAAAATGTAAAATCATGTTCCGTGAGTCCTACAAAACTGAGAGAAATATGAGCACGATGATTATGCATGAGATCCATTTAGTGCATAAAATATAATTTTACCGTAACATTCATTTGAACTCTGTGCCTCTGTAAAATAAATATGCTAACTACAATAAACATAAATTATTACATTAGAGCTTAGAATTCTAAATTAGAATTTAGAAGTGATTTTGAAATATGGTTTAGGTATTTCAGTTCTCTAAATTAGTGAGGAATGGTTCATATCCATTGATTAGATTGGTAAAGTTGTAATCATTATTAATTTAACTTCAACCAATTAAAAACTATTCCTTAAGGCTTTAGCTTCCTTTGTCCCTTTGTCAAGACATGCTTTTTGGTCAAAAGCAAATGAAAAGAACAAAACATGAAAATTAAATCCATTATTTTTACATTTATTTTTACATTTTTAACAGTACTTGGCAAATGGTTTGTTGATAGAAGAGATAAAAATTAGTCTGGAATTGGAGATTTTGTGTATCATATTATTCTGCATCCTCCTCAGTTGAAGAGGAGATAAAATAATTGAGAGATCAAATAATTTTAGGGAGTTTAATTGAGAGGCACTGTTAATCATCATTGTGGTATAGAATAAATGTGTAATGGGTCCTTTTCCATTAATTTCTTTTGAAGATGGTTGGGGATAAATAATTCTACATCATTTTATTTTATGAACTAAGATTATACAAAAGTACTTTTTTGTTTTTACCTTTTTCTAAAAACTACACTGGCGAATTTCACTCAGGCTCGCCTGCTGCTTCCTAATGGAAGATGTTCTCTCCTCGTGAGCACTGAGCTCTGGGTCCATGCTCGCTTCCCACCCTCCTACTTCTCTACAGCATGTGTTTCTTCTTTTTAAAACTCTCTCCCAAGGCTTCTGTGTGTAAACTTTTCCACACATTCCTTTCTTATCTATATGCTTTCTGTTTTACTACCTTCTCCTCTGCTAAACATAGCTGTTTCTTAAGCTTTGAGTCCAATTTCTCTTCTTCTCAATCTAAACTCTGTTGGCGGTTTCATCCAGGTATCTCCTCTATATAGCTGAGTTTTAGGTGTTTATTTTTGTTGTATTATTCCATCTTTTGGGAGGAGTGTGCTTTCAAATTTTTTAAGACATTTGACAGGAGAGAGGCATGCACATAAATCATGGAACCATGGGTAATCCACCTTCCATGACTTCATATTTAAAATTAGCACTTACCGATATAGAATTATATTGATATTAGAAGGTGAACTTTGCATGCATACACTCCAATGAATAAAAGAGTATTATGTATTTAATCAACAGATGAAAAACAGAACTGTAAAACATTGTGAATTAGATGTCTAAGATCTTTAGTTTACATATTCTATACTAATAATAATCACAATGTGAAAAAAAAGGAGTTTATTGAACAACTCTAAATGTTTAATGGAAGGGAAATTCAGGCACTCAGCACTGTGATAGAAGAGCAAACACTGCAGAGGTCAATTTTTAAAGACAATAGAATGAACCGGATTCAATCAATAAGATGTGCTTTCAACTCTGTGTGCGGACACAAATGGAAAGAAATGTTAAAGACATCAGCAGTCACAATTTTCAGAGAGAGCAAGAAAACCCCACATAGCATAAGAACAAGAGAGTTTGAGAGGTGAGATTATTCTGCCCTAATAGAAAAGTATGCCAGATAGATAAAATACTTGTCTCCCTGCTTCCTTTGTCTCCTTTTTTTTTTTTTTTTTTGATTGTCCAAAGTGAGAGAGAGTTGCATTATTTCTTGCATCTCATTTCTTCTCTCCTTGTTCCCTTTTCTTCTTGCTGGAATACATCCTTTATTAGTTCTTTCAGTGGTGGGGCGTGGCTGATAAATCCCGTCAGTTTTATTGTTCTGAAAAGTGTTTTAATATTGTTCTCATACTTGATTTGATAATTTGACTTGGTTTAAAATTTTGAGTTAAACACTTCTTTTCTTAAGCACTATGCAGTAGTACTCCACTATCTTCTGGCATCTCTTGTTGCTTATTGTTCAATAAGCAACTAGTTATTATTCTTGTATACTTATTATTCTGCTGTCGATTTAATTATTTGCTCTTTGTAAGTAATATGTCCAAGTAACTTTTATAGTTCCCTAGGTTACATTCTACAGTTTTAATACAATGTTTATGCTGTGAATTTATTTTTATTTATCTAGCACTGCAGTCAGAATCTATTTTAAAATAGAAGGTCCACGTTTTTCTTTAATTCTGGGATATTCTCAGCAATTATCTTTAAATGTTGCTTCCTTGCTATTCTATTTATTCTCTTCTTCTAGAATCCCTATTAGATGAATGTTGCTGTTTTATTTCTATTGGAATTTAAGCTATAATTTCATTCTTGTTTAAACAGTTGCCCTTCTTTATGTCTTTGAAGATACTAAATATACATGTTTCAAAGATGTCTTGCATAGAGTGAATTAATCTGATTGGTGATTTTGTTGGCTTTCCTTTTAGCATTAATCTTGCTCATTCTGGAATTTTAATTTGCAGGCTTATATTAAATGGGAGGTGTTTGGTTTGCTTTTAGTTTTCGTTTTTTCCTCTCTCCCACCTTACCCTGTAGCAGTCTTGTAGTTGCCTCCACCTTGTCTTTTTCTGTGGCACACATTTCAGAACCAGTTCTTAACTTGGTGGGCTATGGCTCCTGACCCATGATGATGCTGGAAATGTCACAGGTCCTGTTGCCTTGGTCAAGACGGTGGCTGCAGGGCTGTGCCTGTCTTCCAGCTTTCCTAGGTTGGCAGCTTCGTATAAGACTTAGCCTCAGGCAGTGGGTGGCACAGGTTTTTTTATCCTCTTCTCCACTCCTGATGTCCAAAGCCTCCTTATTAAGCAGAAAGAATAAATGATTTAGAGACAGAAGTCTTGGATTCGTGTTCGACTTCAGACTTCACAAATGTATTACTAATTTATGACCTGAACCCATGACCACCTCATCTTTGAATCCCCCAGGTTTTCCAGTACAGTGTCCTGTACAAAGTAGTTATTCAGTAAGTTGGTATTGAATGTATAGATAGATGAATTCCTTAGGCTACATCCCGGAGTGATTATTTTGGTTTGCAAGTGATTTTCCACTTGTAGAATCTTTCACCCTTGAAACGTTTCCATGTACTATTTTTGTTCTAATCTTCCAAATACATACCCTCTACTTTCAATTTCCCTGCCCCCAAAACCTTAAGTGCTGTCTATGTGTACATTAAACTGTCAGCTCTCAGGTTGGCTTTCAAGGACCCTTGGTTCGTCTTTCCACTGTCAACTCCCATCAAGCCACCTTCTGCTTCATTACCACCAGAACACGGGTGTGCATGCTGTGCTTCCCACCTCCTTGAGTTTCCTTGTACTTTTAAATATACCAGAAATGCCCTTGTTTGTACTCTCTTCCTTTCTCCTTTTAAAAATCAGTCAAAAGTCTCCTCCGTAAAAATTCCCATGTCTATTGCAGCTATTTAGTGAATGAATGACAAATCTAAATAGCAGTTATTGTCTGTACAACCAATGTGAAAGTGATAATGTTTTGCTTTTAACATTCTCTAAGGGCATAGCCTGTGACTGTGCTTCTCACTGTCATTTATATCTTACAGGTGCCAGTAAATTATTAAATTTTTTTAATGTATAATTTCCTATTGAAAACTCAAAACATTAAAAAACTGTATTTTTATATCCAATTTTCTAGTTGGGAGAACATGTACTGGGACACTGGGGATTATACTTGAAGACGTGAATGATAATGGTCCATCCATACCTAAAGAGACAGTGATAATCTGCAAAACTGTCATGTCGTCTACGGAGATTGTTGCCGTTGATCCTGATGAGCCGATAAACGGCCCACCCTTTGACTTCAGCTTGGATAGTGCTTCTGATTCAGATGTACAGAGAACGTGGAGACTGACAAAAATTAATGGTATGTATTTCTAACATTGCTTTGTCCTTTTCAGCCTGAGTATATCTAAAATATATTTTTCTTGATGAAGTAGAAGAATAATTCACTGTGGGAACGACCAATGAAAGAAGGAAAGTTTCTCAGTTTTGGTGTGGTGGGAAATAAGCATTTCTAGTGCTTATCTCTGGTCTCTCCTATGCCAGGATTCGCTTAGGTGTTGTGTGAATTCTCATTCCCACTCCAAACACACACACAGCCTTAGACTAGTTCTAATGTAATCACTTCCTGACTTGTGTACTTCCCACCTACATAGATTCTTTACATGCTAGTGGTTTCCTAGGTGATAAAGGAGTGTCCATCTGTTGCAGGTCTGTTCCTCAAGAAGCAGACTCTGATACAGAGTTTCTCAGGCAGAGTGTTGATTAAGGAGTTTGCTTGGCCTCAATAGCTGTGAAAGGAAGGGAAGCAGGCTTGGGCAAAAAGAGAAGTCAAGCCGCAGCTCAGGCCAAGAATAGCCTTGGCTAAGCCCATGGGGAGTCTGAGCTGAATGGCCCTTCAAAGCAGCCCCAAGTTGAGCCTCTCTCCTATCTCATTGCCCGGTCAGTGGATTGGGCTCCCCCGAGGGGCATGCCCCTTGGCAGGAAGGCACAATCCCTGAAGATGCTGGTAGCCACCCAGGCAGCTGGGACAGTGAGTCCTCGACTGCAGGCGATCTGTGTGTACATCACTACACCGTGCTCTCCCTCCTCTCTGCCCTGCCTTGATTTCTGACCATCTCTTGTCTATTGTTTTCTACTTGGGATTCTCCCCCAATTTGGTTCGTAGTCCGTACTTCTGACTTTACCCACGACAGGATCTAGGGTGACAAGAATGGCAAAAGTGAAGGGGGCCTCTCTCCATATCACCATTGCCTCCCTCCTACATCAGCTCCTAACTTTTCGGCACATTCTTCATCTCCTGACTGCACTACCTGTGGGCCATGATGTCATGTCCCTCCAGCTTTCATGACTCAAGATCCACTGTGAACTGATGGGGTTTGCCTTTAAAATGCCCTGGAATGGCATTTCATTTCATCACCATGCTTTCAATGAATATTCCTCAATTAAAAGAGAAAGGTTGTGAGAGAAGAGAAAGGGGAGAACAGGATGGGAGAAGAAAAGGATGTATAGAAGGATATATAGAAGCTATGGTGGCATTTTTTTTTTTTTTGTGAGGAATATCAGCCCTGAGCTAACATCCATGCCAATCCTCCTCTTTTTGCTGAGGAAGACCGGCTCTGAGCTAACATCTATTGCCAATCTTCCTGCTTTTTTTCCCCCCAAAGCCCCCAGTAGATAGCTGTATGTCACAGTTGCACATCCTTCTAGTTGCTGTATGTGGGATGCGGCCTCAGCATGGCCGGAGAAGCTGTGCATCTGTGTGCGCCCGGGATCCGAACCCTGGGCCGCCAGTAGCGGAGCACGCGCTCTTAACCACTAAGCCACGGGGCAGGCCCTATGTTGGCATTTTAAGGCATTGTGTCCTGAATCCTGCTTGGTGAACTGACAAAATTTTCAGTTTTTTTAACAACGGTATTCCCGTGTGTGTGTGTGTGTGTGTGTGTGTGTGTGTGAGTGAGGTTTTCAACTGTCCTTTCTTGGGAAGAACTAAACTTGTGTTTAGATTTTGTCCTTTCTACTTGTTTGGTGTCACAATATCATTTTTTAAAATAGTGTTGAAGGAGGTGGTAATTTTAAAAAATATAATAAATAATATTTAATAATTAAAAAATTTAAATATTAAAAATTTTTAATATTTAGCAAAATAAAACATTGACAAGATTATGTTGGTTAAAACTTTGTTATTTTGAAGTTTTACTGGTCTGAAATAACTCAGAAGCCTGGGAAACACAAAGTTAAGATCATACCCTAAAGAGTCTTTGAAATCAGATAGTCTCAGTGATGAATGCTGGCTCTACTGCTTATTAGTTATGTAAATCTGACCATGCTATATATTCTCTTTGAGCATCAGTTTACTCATGTGTAAAATGGGATTATTTGAGGGAGTAAATCAGATAATGAATGCAATAGACCATGGCACATTATGAGTCATAAATTTTGGTTTTGTTAGTCTTATTATTATTTCTTACACATAGACTTACCAGGTTAACCATGCTTTCTTTTAAAATTGACTTAATTCAATGATGTCTTTATCTAAACATTCAAATTTATGTTTAGAACTGCAAACACCATAAAAATAAGTGAGAATGTCGCACTGGGCCAGTTAAATGGGAAGAGATTATTCCTGGGCATGGCCATGTAGAAACTGTATTCAAAGTAGTGTTATATCTTTGGCTCTGTATCCAAGACTATATAGGATTTTGGCCGGGATATTTTCTATCCTTGACCTAAAAAAAATACATCAAAACTAAAAAATATGGGCCAGCCTGGTGGTGTAGCAGTTGAGTTCGTGCACTCTTCTTCAGTGGCAGCGGGTTCGCCAGTTCAGATCCTGGACGTGGACCTACACACCACTCATCAAGCCATGCTGCGGCAGCATCCTACATAGAAGAACTAGAAGGACCTACCACCAGAATATACAACTATGTACTGGGGCTTTGGAGAGAAAAAAGGAAAAAAAGAGGAATATTGGTAATAGATGTTAGCTCAGGGCCAATCTTCCTTAAAAATTAATTAATTAATTAACAAGTAAAAAATACACAGTTGGTCGCTGTGTCTTGTAGGACCATGAGATGAAGTTCCAACAGCATGGTTCATACCTGCTAGTATGTTCAAGGTCGGTGATGTTCTAAGTTGTCAGAATCAGTCTCTGATAATAAGTCACAAGTATTTATTCTTATTTGGCACAACATAGGAAAAGAAAGTAAGGGGAAACATCCAGAATTTCAGACTATTACTCTCTGATGAATCATGTATAAAAGAATATATGCATTGACTGTCTATATTATAAATTTTAAAGATGTGATAAAAACCCATCTCTTAACAAGTTTATTTCTTGTGATAGGAAGGATTTGTTATGGAGAGATAAAATATACTCTTACAAAAGCCAAAAGACCTTTATGTAAGAGGCAGCATAGACAAAATTTTTTTTTTTTTTGTGAGGAAGATTAGCCCTGAGCTAACATCTGATGCCAATCCTCCTCTTTTTTCTGAGGAATATTGACCCTGGGCTAACATTTGTGCCCATCTTCCTCTACTTTATATGGGATGCTGCCACAGCATGGCTTGACAAGTGGTACGTCTGTGCGCACCTGGGATCCGAGCCTGTGAACCCCGGGCCGCCGAAGCAGGAGCACGCACTTAACCGCTGTGCCACCAGGCCGACCCCAGCATAGACAAACTTTTATATGCAATATGTTTACAGTGGCTATAGAGTAGAACTACCCAGTCCATTCACATTTACAATCTTGTAGCAGTTGTGCGATGCCGTCAGGAATATCCATTTGTAGAGAAATATGATGAATATCCTATCACTGCAGCCGGCCTTCATGGTCTAGTTAAGATTCAAGGCTCTCACCACCATGGCCCGGGTTCATTTCCAGGTCAGAGAACCACACCACCTGTCTGTCAGTTGCCATGCTATGGTGGCTGCGTGTTGCTGTGATGCTGAAAGCTATGCCACGAGTGTTTCAAATACCAGCACGATCACCCACTGTGGACAGGTTTCAGCAGACCTTCCAGACTAAGACAGACTAGGAAGAAGGAAGAAGGACCTGGCCAACCACTTTCACTGGCCATGAAAACCCTATGAATAGCTGTGGAGCATTGTCTGATATAGCGCCAGAAGGTGAGAAGATGGCGCAAAAAGACCGGGCAGGGCTCTGCTCTGCTGTACACAGGGTGGCTAGGAGTCGGAATTCACTGGAGGGCACTAACAAATCCTATCACTAGTTATTTATGCTCAGAAGAAATCAATGACATTCAGTAATGCGTGGTTTTATTTTCTTTCAGGTACAGCGGCACGCCTTTCCTATCAGAATGACCCTCCATTTGGATCATATATAGTACCTATCAAAGTTACAGATAGACTTGGCCAGTCACTTGTCACTCCATTAAAAGTTATTTTATGTGACTGTGTTACCGAAAATGACTGCACCTCTCGCATAAGTCCAAGGACTGGCAACGGAGAAGTAAAACTTGGAACGTGGGCCATCCTTGCCATATTGTTGGGCATAGCATTGCTATTTTGTAAGTCCTTTCATGAATTCAAATAATAGCCTTTAAAATAACTTTCAATGGGCCGGCCCCGTGGCTTAGCGGTTAAGTGCTCGCGCTCCGCTGCTGGCGGCCCGGCTTCGGATCCCGGGCGAGCACCGACGCACCGCTTCTCCGGCCATGTTGAGGCCGCGTCCCACATACAGCAACTAGAATGGATGTGCAACTACGACATACAACTATCTACTGGGGCTTTGGGGGAAAAATAAATAAATAAAATCTTTAAAAAAAAAAAATAAAATAAAATAACTTTCAAGACACACTCTTAGAATCAACACTGTTTTCTATAGCTATTCATTTGTATATAGCTGTATTTCTTTTTAACACACACATTTTTAATTTATATATTGAGAGTGTATTTATGTATAGTTCTAGTGTTGTGTTGGCATAGACATAAAATTCAACGTAGACATACAACATTTAACATGTCTTTGTGGCATATCTGGAGGGAAGACTTTTGCATGCTACTTTGACACAAGCAATCATATTTATGTTTTCTGGAAAGTTGTCTTATATTTGTCATCATAAATTCATAACTTCATGTTGGTTTATGATAAACTGAAGTAATTTATCTCATCTTCCAGGTATCCTGTTTACCTTAGTCTGTGGGGTTTCTCAGGCAGCCAAGCAGCCAAAAGTATTTCCCGATGATTTAGCCCAGCAGAACCTCATTGTGTCCAACACTGAAGCTCCCGGAGATGACAAAGTGGTAAGTAGTTTGTCTTTTTAAAATAAATACAAAGGATAAATTGGCCTAACCAACTATCATTATCTTTTCTGAGAAAAGTTCTTTTGAAATCAGGTAACTTGCAATATATGAAATGTCATCCGTCCCATGGAACAGATAAAATGACATTGATTCCCATGGTGATATACAGCATTTCAATTTGGCCACACAGTGTTACTTAATAGTAAAAATCCTTCAGCATGTCATTATTATTTTCTACTTCAAATGTTTCATGGCTTTAACTTTAGGCTGTCTTTTTTATATATTGAAACTGCTGTTTGTGCTATAAAAATGTTTCCTTTAATTATTCACAGATCATCAGCATACTTGTTTTACTGTTTTTCTGGCAACAGCAATAAAATGATTACAAGCTTTGATCAGCATGGGAAGAACTTTAATGGAGTCTTTCTGGCTGTGATATGGGTTAGAAAGAAGCCTGAGGTCAAATATATGGAACAGCAATGCTAGCAAGTGACTACATTGCTCCAACTTTGATCTCTAGCTCAGTATGTGGACTAGGAACAAGTGAATTTCCTATAAAAAGCATAATCAATGATTAGGGCAGGAAAGATTTAGAAAACAAAAGGATGTTGGCATCTAGGAAGGTATTGGGAAAAACAAAACTTAAAGTTTCCTACAAAAACACAGCATAGACAATTAGTAGCCAAAGGTTTGGTGTTCGTATTTGCCCTGCCTGATTTATTTTTATTTATTTAGATCACAAGGATTTATTATTGCAGCTAAGATTTTTATGAGAACTTTATTTCTATTATTTTGTTTTAGTGGAAGGGGAACTAAATGAGACACTGAATAAAAATAGGGATCGTTACTTCTATTTCTGCTCTAGTTGGGTGAAGGGAATGAATTTAAACTAAGCAGAATAAATAGATGTAAGACGATAGTACTGTAATCCTGATTTTGAGGCATGAGATGCTGGAAGGATTGAACAAATGAAGTTGCACAGTATTCTGAGAAGTTTTTAGGGAGGGAATATACATTTAGCTTTCTGATTTGTCTCAGGGTACAGACCACTTGACATCTGCAATTTGCTTCTTGTATTGGACACTACTTGGAGTACTGGGATTTCAGTAGTTGGGTACTCAGCATTGCCAAGACAGATTTGCTTCCTGCCCTCAGAAAGCTTACCTTCTAGCACAAAGATTCATGGCATTACCTGCAGTGGTCTTTCTCTCATTTTTTCGTTTCCCTTTGCATTTCCCCAATGCAAACTTTCATTTCAGTATTGCACAGACGGCTTTACGACACATATTGTGGGCAGTTCGACTCAGGGAGTCTGTGGCACTGTGGGATCAGGAGTGAAAACTGGAGGGCAGGAGACCATTGAACTGGTGAAAGGAGGGCACCAGACCTTGGAAATGTCCCAGGGGGCCGGACATCATCACACTTTGGAATCGTCTAGGGGAGGTGGACAGCACACCCTGGATTCCGGCCGGGGAGGACACGTGGAGACGGACAACTGCAGATACACGTACTCGGAGTGGCATAATTACACTCAGTCCCATCTTGGTGAAGTGAGTTTCCCGAAGTGTCCTACAAATCTATTTTCATTTGTTTTCAACTTTCTAAATGATTATAGTTTAGTGGCCTGACCTTTATTTTCAGTTAATTATTCATCTTCTAATTAGAAAGTTATTTTTCCTTAATTTTGATTTAGTTGTGTTCAGATATTAAATGGATATTTACTTTTCCTCATATTTTGTTTGGTTTTTAATTCTACTGAAATAATGTGTAATGATATTTAAATTATTTTTCTCATGACTTTGTGTTAATAGTTCCCATCTGACAAGTCATGTCTTAGAAACCAAAAGTGTGGTACAAGGCAATTCCAGCCTGCACTGTGACTATGCCTTTCTGGAAAGATCCAAGCCCGCATCAACTTGGGTTCAGTTTAATGGCTGCATTTCACTTTGGCCATAATTTTGAAAAGGAAAGTAGTGATTACTTAAAATGAACACTTGTAAGCTTGCTGCCACATGTGTGACTTTTAGAGACATGCTATAGAGTGAATTTATAGTGTGATTTATGATAGAGACCAATCATGTGCATTTTTTATATGTAGGAACCCATTAGAGGACACACACTGATTAAAAATTAAACAATGAAAGGTAAATCAAAGCAATTATTTTTATGTTAGTAAGTTTTGGTGTTTAAAATAATAATAATAAAATATGTTGTGTTTTTCTTTTTGGCAGAAGGTGCAGCTGTGTAATCAGGACGACAATCACAAGCATGCTCAAGACTACGTCCTTACGTATAACTATGAAGGAAAAGGATCGGTGGCTGGCTCTGTAGGTTGTTGCAGTGAACAACAAGAAGAAGATGGGCTTGAATTTTTGGATCATTTGGAACCCAAGTTTAAGACACTAGCAGAAGCATGCATAAAGAGATGATTGTGTTCTAACACGTCTATAAAAGCCAATGGCTTTATCACCTTTTTTTTTTAATTTTCAGTTTTTAAAAATAGAAGATGCTTTGTTTGGGACTTTTCCCCCATTATTTTGATGGGATCTCTTTAGCCAAATGCACATTTACAGAAAGATGCTGTAAATAAGAACACAAATTTCACAGTTTTTACATAGTTTTTAGTTACTTGTCTTCCACTCAAGGGGACCTACAGATAGAAAAATTAAGGAAGTCTGCATTATTGTTTACATTTGGGTATAATGACAGCAGCGAATTTATAGTGCAATAAAATGTAATTAATTCAAGTCTATTTCATAGACTACTTGAAGTTAATCTGATAGAAAATTGTAGAGATCTTGCTTTAATATTATATTCAGTTAGCTAATTAATTAATTGTTTGTATGGTGCTTGAAAACTGTTGTTCTCCTAAATATTATAAAGTGTGTACATTACATTATTATTGTTTTATTCTTATAACATGACCTTTCTTCATGATGCAAAGGGAGAGTCCCAATCAGGCATTGACTGTTATTACAATTCCATTTTGGTGGAGTTTAGTTTCTAGGTTTTATTCTGTATAAAATCCTGCACTGAATCCACAGTTCCTCTGTTACTTACCTTCTCAGTGAAATTTAAGTTTAAAAGATGCTTTAAGAATGTATTTTTACACCTGCAAGTTTTCGGTCTTTGGTCTCTTTCTTTCTCTCCTCTTTATTTTTAAAATTCCTACGTGGGTTGGAGCATCTAAATATTTTAAAAAGCTGTCTCTCTTCTCTTATAAAGTGAGTTAGTCTATTTCGGTTTTATGTAAATGTATGTATTCTCTGTTTTTCTTAAAATCAATGTAATGTTGATTTTATTGTTTCAAATATCTTGGTTATTGCTTCGTTATTCTCCTCAACAAAGAACCTTTAATTTTGCCATTGAAACTATAAAAATATGTCATACTTTTATTAGATGCAACATTCTGTGTTAACAAAAAGAATACTGTAATTAAAATTGGGATCTGGGATTTAGTATATAATAGCATATTTACAGTTCACATCTTTAACAGAAGGGTACGGTTTAAAAGTGCAAAATAGTGATGGTTTTTGAAATAAGCTTTGAAATACAGATGAAAGCTCTCTAAGAATAACTATTTTATAACTTTTTAGATGAAATGGCTAGTCATATCTGTGTGTTTATAAATTTTTTTATATTTTAAAATTACAGTTTTTAACAAATGTAGAAATGGGCCAAACTGTTTAAATTTTGAAACAATAAAGACAAAATTAAGCTTAACAGCCAACCAAATTCCAGGCCAGGTTTCACTGCTGACTTCAGTCAATGAATTTTGTGTATACTAACTATATGGACATTTTAAATGTATTTCTAATGTTTATGATTGTTAATAATTTGCCTATCTTGAATTCACAAGGTTGGCTTATAACAATTATTTTTAAGGATTAACATTGGGTAATTATTCAGTAATCAATTTATTTTTTCAATAGTTTCATTACTGCTCAGTCAAAAATACTGTTTCTCAGTTATTTTAATAAATTATGTACAAAATTCTTGTATATTACTAGTTATGATGAAGTAAATCAGGTAGTTTTTAAAAAATTCATGTGAGTTTGTTAATCATATGTAAGATATGAGCTTATGAGATTGTATTTGTCTTACTTAGAGAAGTGAGTCTCTTTTTTAGCATCCCGTTCTACATTTTTTAGAATTTTAGAGTTGGATTTGGAAAGATCATTGGTCCATTGTTACCACCACATTTATATAACTTTACTATTCTAAGGCTGTGATGCTATGGGATATTGGTTAAATTGCATAATTTCTCTGTGTCTGGTTTTTTTTTTCATCATAAAATGGGGGATAATGATAGAACTTCTTTCCTAGGGTGGCTGTAAGACATTTGAATAAAAAATGGTTTTTAAGCATGAAAGTCATACAGAGTGGTCCACCTAAAAGGCACTCCTATTAATACTAAATAATTTAAAATGTACAATGCCTTTCATATTAACAAAAATCTATTGAGAAATAAGATAAAAGGTTTTTGCTTTTTTGTTTCTTTTTTTTTTTTTAGTTTAGAATGTTTGTCAAGTGAGAATATGTCTCTTCATAATGATTACCTGATGACTGAGTCTTATATCCAATGGTTCAGAACGTATATTGCAGAGATTGCTGAAGCATCTGCAAAGGATTGCCTAATTTGAAATACTACGAAACTACTTGGTTCAAATTGGATGGAAAGCAGAACATCCACTTCTTAAAATGGACACTAATTCTAAAGCCCTATAAAAATTTCATATGCTTAAGATTTCTCCTATCAAGCCCTTCCTTAGCTTCTCTCCTAGCTGTCTTGCTAGAGAGATTGCTTGCCAGCCACAGAGGCAAGCGATTGCTTCCCTGGGAGTTTAAGGCTCTTTGGCAGTTGCCATGGTAACCCTAAGTGCAAAGACTCCAGAGAGTGCTTTGATGATAAACTTAGCTCCACCCTTACTAGCTGTGGGATTTGAGAAGTCATTGAAACTTTGAGTTTAGTTTCCTCAATTATATGACCTATGTTGAGGGAGTTGTAGGAGTCCACTTCATAGTTTTGTTGTCAGAGTTAAAAGCGTTAATTCATGAAAAGAACTGGCACAGAGCACTCAATATATATTAGCTGCTATTATTAACATATGAGAAGAGACTGCCTTAGTTGGAAATAATCATAGCTTCAGTCTCCACTCTGCTTTACAGCTGACATCTTGCCATGATGTTCCCATTTATCTTTCCCAGAAGCCTGACCAGAATTTTACCTGTGATGACCTTTGGGAACTTCATGGCTCATAATAGTTTCCAGGTCTTTCATTCTTGGTATTCAGGAAGCTCTATCTTATCCATAGCCCACAAATCAGTCTGATAAATCTTGAGACTTAAATGAAAAGCAGATGAGATTCCTACTCAGTCATGTTTTGCCTCAAGGCAAAGTCTTAGGGATTTCCCCTAAGAAATGGATGATGCATCTTGAAAGGAGGAAGGCAACATAAATCTGCTGTCGGTTCTGTGAGTCTGTATTTGGGGGGTCTCCCTGTAACCATTTTCTGCTTTTTTTTTTTTTTTTTGATCCCCTATCTTAAGACTGGTTTTTATCTTGCCTCTCAATTCAGTTATGCAAAATCTGACTGACTACAGGCTTCTGCTTTAGTCTCCATCTCCAGCCTTTTCCTGGACTCCACATTGAAGTCCTGATACCAGACTTTGCCCTGGTCAATTTCTTAAGCAGTAACGTACTGAGAATACAATGCTTTTTCTTCTGTGTGCCTAGAGTCGTCATATTTTCAACCTCCTTGAACAAATGAAGCTCCAAGAGGTTACATGATACCTATGCAGATCTACAGCTCTAATTCAGCTTTTCTGCGAGACCCTGTTATCTTTCCAGTACTTCAAACTCATTATTGCAAAAAGATGAACACTATGTTACTACAGCACCATAGGTTCTCCTGGGTTTCTCATATAAATAGGGCCTTCTAATTCCTTAGGCTTGAGACTGAGACTCCTCAACTCCTTTCTCTTGTTCACATAGCATATCCTATTTGTTGCCCCAAACTGCGAAACTTTCTGAGAATTTTAAATACGATTTCATTCATTCACTAATTTTTTTGCATATAATCATTTAATGCCTTCCCAGTACAGCCATGTAAGGCCTTCCTAATACAGACTGTTCTGGTATGAGAAGGTACAAAATGAATCAGCTACTCTCCCTGTCCATACACTTTAGTACAGGACAAGACATGGTGTAGTTTTGAGTATGGAATGGTCCAATGCCTGTAAAACATGTCACATGGTACCTGGCACATGGTAAGTACTCAATACATATTAAAAAAATTCCAGATAATAGAAAAGAACTGTACTATTCCAGTGAGTGGAACAGTTGTGCTGCTATTCTCAAGCCAAAAGTTCATGAGCACAAGGAGTACCTACCTCTGCTGTTCTCCACATCTCTCTTCATACGTTTCTCCTACCAGTACCCTGGTTCAAACCCTTAGCATCACTCAGCTCCAATGGTGTTTGTGCTTCCAATCTCTTCCCTCTTCCTTCTTTCCAACTGCCATCAAAAAACAAATAGGATCATGGCATTCTCCTGCCTAGGGGCCTTCTATGGTTTTAGAAGATAAATTTGAAATGCAAAATCACATTCAAATACCTATCTCCCTCTAGCCCACATATGTTCTCTATGTGTGCCTTCCTCATGATGAGGCCTTGGTACTTGTTATCTACTTCTTCCTTTGTAAAAATATGACTCTTTTGAAGATCTAGTTCAAATACCATCTCCTCTAACCATAAGACATTTGTGTGTCTAGAGCATATTTCTGTAAAGTTTTCACTTATAGGTTTATATGTGTGTTTGTGTGTGTGCGTGTGTGCGTGTGTGTGTGTGTGTGTTCTTTTCTCTGATATGGGAAGCTTCTGGAGGACCAAGAAAGGTGTTCACATTTGTATGCCCATAGAACTCTGGCCATCAAGACATTTTTATGAGTGCAATTGTATTGCCCAGGTCACAAAGAGAAAAAAAGATTATAAATTAAGTTATTTGATTTCTACCACACTACATTACTTTCCCTTGACATAAATTTTCCATTATAGACATGATGTATGTTAGATTCTGCATTAAATTATTTTTTCAACATAGAAACATTGAATGCATAGAACAGCAAACATTTGCATACACAATTTAGTACAAAGAAGTGAGGTGGTGAGGTTGCGGAATTCCTTCTGCTTCTCCCTTGGGATGCTGAGAGTGGCAGATCCTGTCTGGATATTGTGGTTCTGGTTGGCTAACTCCTGTCTACCTCTAATAATTGCACGACCTTCTTGTAACCAGCCACGCCACACTGAAATGTAACCTCCAAAGGGTCTTGTCCATCTACTTCACGACTGTATGCCCAGTGCATAGAACAGTAGACTCGCAATATAATTTTTATGTGAATGTATGAGTGAATTCACATACTGATTAGGTACCTGATGGAGATACGACTGTAGCTTTGCCTAAAGAATCACTTTTTTCCTCAACATGAAACTCAATGACCAATATGAACATCATATTTGTGACTGTGATCTCATTATCAATGTGCTCCAACACTGTAGTGAAAATAATTTTTTGCTAAAGGGCTACTCACTAACCCCCTGAGGAAAAGCATCTAAGAGTCACTTATGTTTTTGGGATTCAAGAAATTATTCTCAAGGATTTCCAAAGCCAAGTTAATTATTTATAAACTGTTGAAGATAGGCCTTGACTCAAGAAGTATCTTGAGAAACCAAAAGGCAAGGAAAGTGATGCAGATCTGAGAGCTTTCTCTAAGTTAGACTGGGAGAACATTCTGTAACAGGACACCACTGTGCTCAAGTGTGCACTGAAAGAGAAGAAAACCTTCAGATAAAGACCAGAGGAAAAGAAAAGAAATGTGCTGCTGTGAGCCTCAGAGGAATGACAATCTTGTACAGTGAGCTGATAATGTCAGCTGGAAGGTAACACGTAAGACGTGGAGCCCTGCCCTGCTCTGCTGTTCTCTGACCAACTTGAAAGGAACTGAACTATCCAGCTAATGG